TGATGGTATAAATCCTGCATTACCTATAAGAAGGGTTTCCTCATGCAGGGAGGGGAGGGGAGGGAGGGAGGGGAGGGAGGGGAGGGAGGGAGGGAGGGGGGAAGGGGCTAGTGGGGCCCGAGAGCTTCGAGTGCGTGGCCCTTGGGGTCTGTCTTCGGTAGCTTTTCTAATTCCTAAGCCCTAAACTCCTATAAATCCTTTTTCGGTAGTGTTCCTGATTCCGAAACCCTAAACTTCGAATTATAAATCTTCAAGGATTCCTGTGGTTTGACGAATTTCCGGGGGGCCCCCCAAAATGCAACCCTAAACCCTAAACCCTAAGTTGGGCCTTGCCAAGCTCTCTCGGGTGCTTGGCCCAGAGAGATTCGAATCGCTCAGGACCTGAACCAGGCGGTTTGGAGCTTAGGTTAAGGTAGGGTTTAGGGCTTAGGATTTAGGGTTTAGGGGGATACTTGCCCAAACCCTACTAGTAATTCAGATGAAACCCTAAACCCTAAACCGTTGCCTAAGCCCAAACCCGACTTTTACTTCAGGCGATAGAAACCTTACTGTCTACTGGACAGGTACTTCAGACCCTTTGGGTAAGTGAGGGGCCAGGCGAAGCGGGATTAGGGTTTAGGGTTTTCTGTTTAGACTTAAGGGGTCAAGGCTTAATTAACAGGCTATGAGGATTCGGGGTTCAGGGTTCAGGGATTAAGGATCGTCGGGCTGTTGAGGTCCGGCTACTGTTCTGGAGTTATCCGCCTCAGCCAGCTTCCTGCTCTAAGGCCCTAGAGACTGATATTCTAAGGCTTTTGGGCCCAAAGACCATACTATACAGGGCTTTTGGGCTATTTTGAGCTTCAGGGTTGCACAAAATCCACGCAACCATCAATGACATCATGTATCGGTGAGCTCCTGACAGTCGTTTGCTGTTCCGTCTACTTGTTAATTACGTGTCTTCTAAGACTCTATCCATGCTGCTAAGACTATAATCCCACATGCTTTTCTCATATAGGTTCTGGTGATCGCAAACACCCCCCAAACTCGCAATTTAGTACATTCGTCCCTTACACGACTATTTCCCTAACGGTCCAAGTGCGCAAATAGTAGGGTTTCAAGGTCCAAAAGCCACTCAGCGTATGGATTTGGGGACAATTTCATGCAAGTTTCAGTTGTGCCACTTGCTTCTCCGCCACGCTTGGGTCCAGTTCTGCCGCATGGTAACCTGTTTGAGCTAAGGATGGGCTAGACGATGGGCGATGTGGTACAGGCTGGACGGCCACTTGATGTTGGGCAGGGCAGTGTCTGCGGCGATCTCTTCATAGCCGCTGGCTGCCAGGACGCCTGTGAAGCTCAGGCATTGCCAAGCGTGCACATCCGGCATTTCGTGCAACTGATTCGCCATTTTTTCCTGGGCACGGGCCTTGCCCAAAGCCCTCCTCGTTCAGAGTGATTGCGAAGCCATGGAAAATGTTGTAAACCAGTTCAGTGACCGTTTTGCGCAACTGCCAGCTGCTCCGCTCCAGTGCACGCACGACGCCCTTCATGATCTGAAGTCGGAAGGGCGAAAGCGCTGCAAATGCTCTGCGGAACTTCGTGCAGGTTGCCTCTGCCACCTCGTGCGCCTCGTAGCTCTCGTACTTGGAGGCCCAGGGGACTTAGTACGTCGGTTATAAGTAGGGTTATAAGTAGGGTAACTCCACTTAGGGCACTTATAACTCTACTTAGAACCCACTTACTAAGTCCCCTGGGCCTCCAAGTAGAGGTCGACGAGAGCTACGAGTCTTTCCGACTCGCTGTCAGACAGGAACCACGCAAGTGCATTACCCATAGTGAGGAATATACCATAATATTCCCATAGTTTAGGGTGCTTCAGGTAATGCAGGATGTATATCATCAACCGTGTTTCGGTACTCGGACCCTCTGGGTTTGGGATGACTTATTTTGTGGCACAGCGGGTCTGATCGTGATTCGTGGGTCGCCTGGCGGAAGGAAGCCCCGCAGAAGAAGCATCCAGCCTTCAGGCAGCCCTAAAACCCTAAACCCTAAACCAGGATGCCTTTGTAGGAGAGGTTGGGGCTTTAGAGTTGTTGCTTCCAGGGTTCTACAAAGGGATTTTTCATGTGGATAAGTCTTTAAATGAGGGTTCCTTTAGGTCCTTTTCATAAGGGTGCCGTACTATATTGCGGACCTAGAAAGGGATCCTAGTATAGAGAACTACCCATAAAATTATATAAGGGGGAACCCTAAACCCTAAACCCTACGGCACCTTATAAAAAGGACCCTGAACGGGATCCTAATTCAGAGAACTACCCAAATAGAACCCTTATAGTACCCTTAACTTATAGAAACCTTTCAGAACCCCTTATAGATCCGATTCAAGGAGCCCCAAAAAAGGGATCCTAATTTAGAGAACTACCCATATGAAGCTTGGCTTCAGCCTGGGTTCTGCTAAGGGTTGCCAGCCTCGTAGGGTTCTGTCGAAGTTTGAGACTGCATGGGTTCGGTGGCTTCAGGTTGGGGGCTTGGTTTAGGGCTTAGGGTTTAGAGTTTAGGGTTTATGGTTTAGGGTTTAGAATTCTAAATTCTAGGGTTTAGGGTTGAAGGGATCAGAGTCTAGGACTAAAGGCTTATAAAAGGCTTCACAGTTGTGCGCCATAAGGTCTTGGTTCCCCAGCAAGCCCTTAATCATAAGGGCAGCCTGGGTTTAGGGTTTAGGGTTTTCCTAAAAATCGGCTGTAATAAGGAGATCCCCCAAAAAAATACAGGGCAAAAGGGTACTACTGGGGAAGCTAGGGATTTAAGATAAGAGCCAGGAGAACTGGAATAGGGTCCCTGATTCCTTCAACGGCTCTTTCAGGGTGCCGGTGGGTGCTTACACAGACCATCCAGAACCCTCCAAGTACTTTCAAATCGAGGCATCGAGTCCCTAAATAAGGGTATTTAGGGTCTAACAGAGGGTAGATGGAGGGTCCAGGATGTTATCAAGTCTTCATCAACAGAAACCCTACTTTCTGGTATGCGTCCGTACTTTGATCAAATTACGAATCTAAACCCGAAGCCCTCAACCCTAAACCTCCCGGTAGTAATTGTCACGGGACCCGAAATCCGAAACTGCTCCAAACCTCTTTGTAGTACGCATTACATAGAGGACTCTTCGATTTAGGTAGGCAGCTGTCGGCAGAAGGCGTCAGCGCAGCGAAATGTGCCTGCGAAGTCGTGGACACGTGGAGCTGCCGAAACCCCGCCAACTTAAGGTTGTGTGTTTGAGGCCATAAGCACCACTGTCGTTCCATGAGTTGCGTATCCACAGAAAAAGACGGTACCCCTACAGTCTACATTAAGGCCTTGTGGTTTCTACATCTATTCTCCTGCGTGGGACTTTAATCAACGAAGAGGCACTACTTGGAGGCCCAGGGGACTTAGTAAGTCGGTTATAAGTAGGGTTATAATTAGGGTAACTCCATTTAGGGTACTTATAACCCACTTACTAAGTCCCCTGGGCCTCCAAGTAGGCAAAGGAGCCTATCAGAATCAGAACCCTTGTAGATATGTGGGAAACCTTTCTGCAAACCATCACCCTCAAGCCCAAAGCCTAAAGACGAAGCCCAAAACCCTTAAATCCTAGTTCTATGATGATATAGGAGACAAAACTCATGGCCCGTCGGGACTTAGTTGCACCCTGTGAGCATCATGCAGGGGCCTTGATAATTAAGAACAGGGTTTTGGGTTATATTATACTTTAAATACAAGGAGGAGCCCTAAACCCTAAACCCAAACAACAACAAAAAAAATAGTAGTGGTAATTATTGAGGCCCCTGCAGTATCCTAATAATTCTACACCCGACAAGCTAGGGTTTAAGGGGGATTAGGGTTTAGGGTTTAAGGGGGTTTAGGGTTTAGGTTTAGGGTTTAGGAGGTTTAGGAGGTTTAGGGTTTAGGATTTGGGGTTTAGGGATTTGGGGTACGATAGATGGGAATTAGGAGTAGGGGGACCCTTGGGGATATAGACCCTCTCAGTAAGCGCCCTTTTAGGAGAGTCATAAGTAGGGTTTAGAAGGGTCCCCTTTAAGGGGTCTCCCTAATACTACCTAGGAGCTAGGGGTAGAGGGTAGTTGCGACCTTGAACCTCCTCTTGCCTCAAACCCCACACCCTCGACCCCCCAAAACCAGAGGACAGATTTTGGGACCTGAAACCTTTCTGTTTGGGAACTCGGACCCTCTGGGGAGGGGACCTTCTCCTCATCGAAAAAGGACTCACCAAGGCGCTCCCGCAGTGACGGAGGTGCTCGGGCCGGGTGCTGGAAGCCTGCCGTCCCGCGCGAGTTAGGTTTTGGGGCTTAAGGTTTAGGGGTTTAGGGGTTTGGGGCTTAAGGTTTAGGGTTTAGGGGTTTCGGGTGTAGGGTTTCAGGGTTTAGGTTTGAGACTCTCAACATAGAGAACTACGGTGGATGATATAATTCCTGCATTATTCACAATAAGGAATATATGCCATACCTCCCATAGTTTAGGGTCCTTAAGGTAATGCTAAGGATTCATATCATCAACCGTAGGGTTTGGGACCTGGGTGTGAGAGCTCGGGGGTTTAGACTTTAGGGCCTTTCCTGGTAGTTTGAAATCGTCTGGGTTTAGGGTTGAATTATCTTGGGTGGTTCAAAGAAGAGGGCTTTAGAAGGGTTTAGGGTTTAAGGGTTAAGGGCTTGACTTTTTTGGGAGGTTCAAAGAAATCTTGCTTGGTTCTTAAGGGAAGGTTTCTGAAGATGATAGAAGTAAGGGTTCAGAGCACACTTTTTCAGGGCTGCGCACAGATACACGTTCTTGCCGGGCGCAGTTTGCGGCTCGAGGGCGAGCTGATCCGGGAGGATCAGTGTGCTAGGGCTTCGGGGGGTACACAAGGCTCTATAGGTATGTTTTGTTTGTGCAATACTTCTAAGAGAGTATGTTAAGCCCCAAAACCCTCAATCCCAAATGCTAAACTCTGCGCCGTTACTACTATATCTATCTATCTATCTATCTATCTATACATACATACACAGATGGGTGGTTGTCAAAACGAGGGTTTGTTGAGGGTTACCAAACTGAAACTTTAGGATGCCCTATTAAGAGCACTAGAAACATTCCCTAAGGGGACCATGATTTTGACAGGTGCCCCCTGCTACCCAGATCTTGCTAACCCTAAACCCTTAAACCCTAAAACCCTAAACCCTAAACCTTGTCAGACCTCGACGCATTTAATACACCCTAAACCTATAAGCCCTGCATGATCCCTGGGGGTCTTTAGGGCCTTTAACGAAGCCTAAACCCTAAACCCCTAANNCCCTAAACCCTGAACCTATAAACCCTCAGTTTAAGACTTTCGGGGCGAGGGCTTTTGAGGCACGGGCTTGCGCGAGGGTTTCTATATTGAGCACTGTAGCTCTATCGTTTTTTTAACTAAGCTGTTCAGTGACCTGGTGGGAAGAAAAAGTCTATACCTTTTTGGGTTAGATATATTATGTTTGGAACCAAGAGCAAAAAAAGGAAACAAAGGATACTGCTGAACATCCTAGTTTAGAGAAGATCAGGTTCCCCACGCTCCCACTGACCTGGCAATGTTGGTCGCAGTCTCTTCATAGGAGGCGCCAGCCTTGAGATTGGCTACTGGGTAACGGCTTTGACCACACGTGCACGCATGAGTATACATATATAAGCCACATATATATATAT